AAAAAGCATAAACAATGACAGGCAAACCTACAATACATCAAAACTTTGTTGTCCTTATATCGAAGTAGGCCGTTACGAGATAAATGAAAGCCAGACTTCACAATTATTGAAAAGCTAGCCATTTTTGGCTATTAATTCGTGAAGTATCGCAACACCAAATTAATTGAAAATAATGCATAACTGTGAAGTAAATTTTGTAACTTACAACACATTCCCGATAGGCACTTCATTAAAAAAATTGAAAATGAATAAATCAATGTGAGGATACAAATCTGCTCCAATCGAACTCGGTCTGTGAAGGCTCAAGAGGTTGCGCAGCAGAGAACGATCATATATGGGGTGGGTGGAACGAAGGGGTATTCCGTCAACTCCTAGGGTCAGGCTTCAGATAAAGTAACTGTGGAAAAGCAGTAGGTTTAAACATATGCTGCTGATTCCATTAATGTTCTTAAAAGTTCGAAAGTCAGCCAAATCCAATCAGAACTATTGTTAGATTGAGAGAAAAAGAGCATTTACACTTTATTCATAAACTATCGTACCTTTACTAGCTAGTACAATGGAAGAAGGCAGAATCTTCATACAAATGCTTCAATTTGGTGCAAATTAGAAATGAGATATTGCTAAATACAACACTTTTCAGGAGAATTATGCTTGTCAGTAAACAAAATATGAGTTATAGTTACCTTTGGCATTCCTCGTGGTTGGAAACTCTTCATAAATGTTAGTTTTCCTTAATTATTTAAGCTTGCTCTTACGTAAATAAGATATCAGCAGGATTGTAAAAGTGAGTTTCGTATTTTTTAACACACCTGATACAAAACAAACTGAATTTGATTTTGAAACAATTCTAGTAAGGATTGCACATTTGAGGTATCCACAAACAGTGTCTGCTTGGTTTTATGGAGCTGATAACGCTTACTGTTGTTCTAAAGCCAACCAAGTAAAGCATACCAAGCGGGCATGTGGAGAGAGATCTGAAACCTTCTTCAATTGTTGAAATAGTTTATAAATTTGGTATAAAATATTAATAATACAATCCATTGCGTCATTCCACTTTCTGAGTTGCAAACCCAAAAAATATGGGAAAGGCTGTAAATAAAGCGTGAAATGATTCAAAGAGAGAACAATGTCAATATGGTATGGAAAAAAGATGATCTCCCAAGGACATTCATTGATCGTGGCAAACCCTCAAGGATGACTGCGTTGTGTTGTCTCGCTTTTATGTGTTCTTTTTTCTTCATCACTTCTATTTAGTTCGAGGACATCGACTAACCACTGCTGTTACTTTTCTTCTTACTTGGTTGCTTCGAAGTGCACTTACTTGCCTGATAACGTTACTACGATCAAACAAACTTCATATTTGTTTAGTTTGGCACACAAATTGCTACTATCCCATGATTTATTAAATTTCGGTATAGCTTTGTTTCAGCTTTTTTT